TGAAAAGTTCGTTTGATTGAGCTGAGTTTTGCGTCTATTACGACTCAATTTTATGTCAAAAATGACGCTCGTATATGTCAGTCTCAGAGCACCTAAATTTACATGATTTTTTTTTAAGTGTGTACAGTTCAGAGCACCCTCCAATACGTCTTTTCTTTTTAAGTAAACTTCTATAAAATATAAACAAATATTACTCCTAATATAACTAGAAATTTCATTGTGTGTTATCTATACCGTTTTTCTTAGAGCACATTTCCACTAAACCACACAAAGAGTGATTAACAATTTGAAAGTATTTGCTGGAACTCTACTTTTTATCAATATGATCACCGATCACTGATGATTGTTTATCAGCAACTCCGTTCGGTATTGCGAATGTGTATTGACATTTGTTTCACTTTCGACAAGTAAAATGAGATGAGGTATCATCATTCTTTTGTTCGCTGCAGCGCGCTGTATGGTATCTCTTCGACAAGTGAGAAAAAAGATCAATGTATATTATAGCCCACACTCAGAGGAGCATGTATGAAAGCGTTGAAATGAGATTGGTAAGGGACAGTTCACATTTTGAGACTATCTGATCCCATTGTAAATCGTAAAAGAAATGAATCCTTATGTAACATCAACTTCAGCATTAACTTAGCTCTGAGTTCGCACCTTAAAAACGTCACGTGGTTTATGGACGGTCCCTAAGAATACCAATCAGTTTTGTCAGCTAACATGTGTGTATAGCTGAATCGATCCATTGAATGAAAAACGTAGGTAATCGAACTTTTTTAATAATTTATATGATTTTATAGATTTTGGGGTGGTCCAAAGAGCAAAAAATACACAAGTAAAGTTAATTTCAATATCAATAATGATTTCAAAACCCCCTAATAACCCTTTTAATCAAAATCTCCATTCAACTAACACATCGTGATAGCTTATTATTGATTACTTTTTACTTAACCCAAAATGAGCTGATTTTCATAATTTAGAACCACCCTAATATAATAAAACCAAAATATATGAAAAGTTTCATATCAAAAATACATTCAGGATACCAAAATCATCTTAACCTGTGAGTTTTAGCCATTTCGGATAACATATGAGTTTTTGTCCGACCTTTGTATGGAGGCCCGCTACTGTGCCACGCGCCGAAAGCACTGCTGCTGCTGCTGATGCCGAGGACCGGATACCACCACACAGGGCGATTGAAACTGAATCCGATCAGCGGTTGTGGGCAGCCTTGATAGCTAGCTGCTTGCGGGGAGCCTTTCGTTGTGTACTGGAGAACATCACCACTCACCACGCGGTGATTGAATAACCACCGTTTGGTGAGACCGGATGGATTTCAACTTTGAAATCTGTGTTAGGGAAATCACTTTTCGCAGGCAATAGGTAATAATTTTAATTAACAGTTGCACATTAGTGCAATTTTCAATCGTGACATTTTTAAACGTGATAAAGTCTTAATTTTAACAGATGCGTAGAAATATTTCTGATCGATTGGTTAGAAAATTATTGAAATTGGTCCAGGGGCAGCTGAGTTATTAACGTTCAAAATCTTTCATAATTTTGTTACATGTTCCTTTTTTGGTTTTCACAAAGTGTACCCCCATATAGAAATCATTTAGCTAAGCCATGAACCCGCATGCAAAAGTTATGAACTGGTTCATGTCTGATCTATTCTGGACAAATTATTTTATCTAGATCAATAAATTCTAAGGTTTTGACAGTTCGGATCACTGCACATTTAAATTCGCCCGTTTACGATTTTCGGGCATAAGTCAGAATTAAGGGTCATGTCCGTTTGTCGGTGGTTTTATCACGTAGTATTATTTAAAGTAGATGCCAATCGATAGCGTTATTATCATAAAATAGACGAAAATGCACATGGGTCTGTGATATGCAATTATAGGCATTGTAGATGTGGGAAAACGATGTCTGACATCATTTTGTAATCCATGATGGCGGCTCTCAGATTCTGAAAAAAAAACTATAAAATACCCTACATTATGGTTATTTTCGGAACAGGTACGACGCGTGCATCCCGAAAATCGATGCCTGATGCCATTTTTGAATCGAAGATGGCGGCCATCAAATACCCAATAATATGGATATCTTCGAAACGAGGACGAAGAGTAGATTCCGAAAATCGGAATGCCAAAATGCCGGATTCCAAAAATGGCGTCAGACATCGATTTTCCGTCTATTTTAGGGTATTTGGCTGCCATCTTAGATTTCAAAATTGCGTTGGACATCGGTTTTGGCCTCCTAATATCGTCCCCATTTCGAAAATGCCCATATTAAGGGGGTAATTGACAGTATTTCCACCGAAAGATAGACGTACACTCTAAATAAAAAAAAATCCTTAAATGTATCGTTACCATCGTTACGGAACTCACTAACAACATTTCTGGAATTATTCGGGGAAAAAAGCTTACTTGCCGAGTCTTAAACAATGTTGTATACAAGTTCGATAGAATGTATATTTGATTGAGAAGAAAGAGTTCCGTCTGTTTGTCTGTGGTGTTTCCAACTTTTCCTGTAACTGGATGCTGCCGTTTTGGATATCAAGACATCCATTTTAGATTTGTATACGTCATCCTGATTCCGAAAATACTCATCGTTTTTCCGACTTTTTCTGAAACTTGTGACCACCATCTTGGATTTCAGAATGGCGTCGAACAACGATATTCGGTCTCTAGACGTCACTCTGATTCCAAAAATACCCATACTGTAGGGTATTTAGGCTCTGAACCATTTGGTGGATTATTCCGGCGTCCGTATTTAGAATGGATGGATTCTTTTCGTAATGCTCCTATTTACTAAAAAATGATATTTTAAATTTGGTTCGTTGACAAAAGAAAAGAAACAGAACCCATACATTCGGTCATGAACGAATAGGTTTGATTTGGGGTATAAAGTTGTGTTGAGCTCAGGACCGAGAGTGTGACCTGTCATACTTTACCACAGGGAACAGTATGAGTGACATAGGACTAGAGTAGAGAGCCGTGACTGGATGGGTTCTTGATTTCGTCGTGATGATCTTGTCGTGCGACAAGAAATTGTTGTTTGACGAGAACTTTCCATGTTGACCATGTTTTAATGTATCTTGTCGTGCGTCAATGACAAACGTGCAATACCCAAGCCAGGATGCATGCACTCGCACTGACTCATAAGATGTTGCCACTCACGGATCGGTTTTCGAAATTGAGCCTCACCCCATCCGGTGTGAAGTTATGAAGTCCTTGGTAATCGAGATTTTTGAAAAGCTTCTTGAGCTTAATCCTCCAACTCGTTTCATGACGTTGTGCTACGTGTGCATAACACAGGATGTGAGCCCTTCACAACATAATCCACATCGCGTGTGCTTCTCCGAATTCGGAAATTCAGTTAATTTTGATTTATATATTTTGGCCAAGTTGATTCACAGATGGATCACTAATAGAGGCATCCGCTGGTTGTGGTGTTTATAAGAAAGTTCATAGCGGCTCTCGAAAGCTTCAAGCTCCCTGTTCCGTATATGTAGCTGAGCTGGCTGATATACATTATACGCTAGAATCTATCGCCTCGCTTCCACCCGATCACTATTTCATATTGTCAGTTCTGTCGAGACTATTCGCTCCATGAGGGCTTTACCGGGCTGCTCCTCGTATTTTCTCATGGAACTGCTCTAAAAAGTTCAGAAAGGGCCACGATTCTCCGTCCGGTCCTAAGTAGGGATTTTTCGGGTTGAATATGATTGTACTTGCCACACAATACATACTAATGTAAAAATGGTACAGGCCTAGAAAGCTCTCAATTAACAACTGTTGAAGTGCTCAAAAGACACTAAGTTGAGAACCGGTGTAAAGTCCCAGTGGCGACGTAATAAAGTCAAAGAAGAAGATGCTAAACATCTCAATACTAAAGATTTAAAAAAAAACATAGACCTCTGCTCGAACTTTTCTTCCTACACGGCCCATCATCTTTTGCATGAGCCCTGTATCCACTTGTTTGGCTGCCAAATTCCATTTCCGCTTGAAATTCTTCAGGTCATTTGAAGTTCCACATTTTTTCTTCAGTATGTGCTTCACAATTTTAACCAGTATTTCTCAATTGGACTTAGTTCCGGATTATTGGCCGGATTCATCTCCTTGGGAACTACTGTGACGTCATTTTCTCGCTGTACCACTGCTTGGTGGAATTTGAGTAGTGGCAGCTTGCCAACTCCGGCCAGAATAGGCAATCCCCCTCATTGTGCTACAGAAAAGGCAGTAATCTCTTCCGTAGGCACTCCTGGTAAATTTGCTGGTTCATGTTCATAGAAGTAACGAAAGTTTCGCTTTTCAGCCCACAACTGCAGATTGCTTGTCAAACAAGGAACTTATTGGGTAAATTTCGACTTCTTTTTGATTTTACATTCTTCCAGGGCACTCTGCCGGTCAACCGAGTTATAAGATTACTGTTATGGAATTTGATCGAAAACTGCCAGGAGCGAATAGACCGGGGTTTTTGTATCGAGCGTGCAGGATCGAATCGCGACGTGCTTGCTCCGGTGAAGCCATAATGTAAACAAATGAACTTATCCTGACAACCAATGCCTACTGTGATCCCAACCTCTGCGTGATCGTCCTAATAAGTCGTTAGTTCAGTCGATGGGCATTGAATTTCCACTGCATCTTAATTCCTCCTTCTGGCATACCTAAATGTTGCTGTTCTTGACGTCCTGTTTTGGCCAAGGGATCGTATTCTCATTTCAGCTGCGCCCATCCTGAGTGTGTCATCTAAATCTACCTCCCATGATAATTTCGGCATAAAAAAGACCACCATCTATAGACAACCTGTTACAAGTTTGACTAGCATTCGCACCGCTGTGCCACGCTTGCGAATCAACTTTATTCCTACCGGCTCTGCATAGCATATGAAACCATTTACTATCTATCATCACCTATGTAGGCACACACAAGTCAGTGTTTATTGATAATACCTTTTGTTTTTGTCTTTCGATTCAACCCTAAAAACCTATCTTAAGAACTGTTGGCTTAAGAAAAATCCTGATAATAATTTACTAACGAACCCATACCGGGCTCTCTATCACAACGTACTTAGGTGCTTACCATTCGCAAATCAATCTTAAGCCGCGATGAATCGATTGTCCAGCGTCCAGCACTTGGCAATCTCTTCCAGCGAGTCACCGGTCTTGAAAAGTGGCACAAACAACTCCGCATCCAGTCGGAAGGCCGTATGCTGCACCGGCCGCTGCCAGTTCCAGAACACAACCGGACGCTCCTGTACTTTCAGGTCCTCGACGATGCTGGCAAGAATCTTGGCCACCGTTGAATCGATGTAGTTGACGGCGGAACCATCGATGATGACTACCTCGACCAGGTTCTGCTGGGAGAGTTTGACGACGCGTGCCTTCAGGTACTCAGCGGAGGAGTAGACTAGGCTTTGATCCGGTGCGACGACCAGCATATCGATTCTGCCTACTCTCTGCACCCGCTGGGTGATCGTCGGGCGAGAGGTCTGATAGAGGACAAAGCACATGTTGACGCCGATTCCGATGACCATGCCGTATTCTAGGCCAAGAACGAGACAGGTGATCAGGGTAACGAAGAAGGGGATGATGTCGATCTTCTTCGTGCGCCAAATTTCCGCCGCCGCATGGAATTCCACCATGAAGAACATGGCGGCGATGATGACCGCAGCCAGGACGGTTTTCGGAATGTAGAAGAAAGTGCCGCCCAGGAGACCCAGTGCTAGTAGGACCACGATTCCGGTGGTTACACCACCGGCTGGTGTCCGCACGCCGCTACTGTTATTGACCGCTGATCGGGTAAACGATCCGGTTACTGGCATCGAAGCGAAGAACGATCCGGCTATGTTGCACAGCCCAAGGGCAATCATTTCCTGCGTGGCATCGATGGACTTGCCTTTGGAGAATGCCTTGCCGATGGCTATGCTTTCCAGGATGGCAATCAAGGGCAACGCGATGACGGACGTTCCCAGCTCGGAGATCATCTGCGTGAAGCTGTAGGTTTGATCGTTGACTACCGTAGAGAACGGTGGGAGCTGCACGGGGGGAAGGCCGGACGTGACGTTACCTGAAATGGTTCGGAATGTGTAAATGGGGTCTTCCTCTGGGAGGATATGTGCAAACTTACCAGTCAACTGGAAGGGGGCCTCTCCGTCCGTACTGAGTAAGTAAGCCAGTATGGTGCCACCGATCACGACGATGGCATTGCGCGACAGCGAGAGATACTTGCCGACCGATTTCAGTCGGCCTTCAAGATTTTTCAGCCGCATCATCAGCAACAGGATCACGATCGTGCTGATTCCGAGAACCGAATCCCACAACTGGGTGTGGTGGATGTTGTGGATGACGTTTTCCCACGATTCCAGGAACTCGTTGGATTTCCCCGGCAGTCCCAGCAGTGACTTGACCTGACCGCTGGCGATGGTGATGGCGGCAGCCGAGGTGAAACCGGCCGTCACCGGCATCGATATGAACTGAACCAGGAAACCTGAAATGGTTGGAACGAAAATTAGAATCTGAAAAATGTGTTCAGTCGGTTAAGCTTACCTAGATTCAGTAAGCCCAGTACCAATATGATACAACCCGCCAAAAACGCCGACAGTACCGCAAATGCCGGTCCCAAATTAGCCACGTGAATCTGCACCATCAGCGACATGATCGCGGTTGGCCCGATCGTAATGTCCTTGCAGCTGCCGAAAATAAAGTACACAAAGCATCCCATGAAAGCCGAGTACAGGCCGTACTGCGGTTCCAGCCCGGCCACCACAGCGTAGGCGATTCCCTGCGGAATGACAGTCAGGCCCACGGTCAGCCCCGCTACGATGTCTTCCACAAAGTACTGCCGGTTGTAGTTCGGCAACCACGACAGGATCGGGAACCGCTTCTTGACCAACTTTGTGCTGCAACATCCATTGCGGAACTTACTGGCCACGAGCTCTCTCAGCTGCGGTAGTTCCTCGGAGTAGTCTTCTTCCGCATCTGAAACGGGCAGAGAATGAATTCATAATTAGTCAACAGTTATGTTTGTTCGCGATCCGTTAGCGGACGACGCGTGAAGGTCGGGTCAACAAATTCAAATCACGTAGATCGATACGCATTAAACTGCACATGTCACGCGATTCATACCGTTCTTCTTGGAGGTGGTTGGTTTTGCCGCTGCCACCGGGACAGGCTGGGCGATGCTTACAACCGGAATCACACTGTCCGGAAGGTTCGGAGTCATGGTTTTATCGAACGATAGTAACCGGTACCGAAGCGACGTTAAATTTCCACTACAGTAGCGCTGTCGTGCTAGCAAAAGCGTCGCCCTTTTATTTGCTCCGGGTTGTTCGTAAAACTAGAACACACCAGTCGGTGTTGTTGTTTCCTACAATGCGGACAGATAAGCCGGTTTCAATGCTTCGTTATATATGGATTAGCGTTTGAACTATCCGATAGTGAAACTGCAATTCATTGCATATTGATGGAAGATTCCCCTGATGGCTTTACAACGACAGTGAGTGATAACGTCCGTCGGAGAAGGCATAGCGGTGGTGTAGATTCTTGAGTAGGTACGAGAAGGATTAAACGATTTGAGTTTGATGGGTACTCTGAAGTAGCATTTCTAATGAGGCTAAACGTTAATCCCAGTTTCAATTGATGGAACTCCACTTATGGGACTACCCCCCCGTAGATTCCAGTGGCGAAGGTTGGGAATGTCCGGTTTTGAGTCCTTTGGACTTTCGGGGTTTGAGAAATGTTTACTTTCCGACCAGAGACGTAGCGAGGTAGGGGGTGGCGAAAATGACCCCCGCGATGGGCGAGTTTTACAACACAATTTAGCAATAACCATCATAACAAGACACCGCACCAAAGATGAATACTAAGATGAAACTGCCGGAAGAAAAACTTTCTATTTTAGTGTCTTCTTTCACGGTCCCTTTCATCCAATGAGAACCCCCCGTATTCAAGGTAATTTTGTGGTTTTGCTGGAAGAGATGAAATTTTGCGCTCATTTTTATCAAAACAATCACACCAAAATCAGAGGTGTCCCATTTTTTAATTACTCGATTAACAACTAATCGATTATTTTTTGTTCGCTGTGCTGCCATTTTTCCACCAATGAGAGTGCAGCACATGTTTGAAACGATCGGTGATGATCCTGTGGAGATGTTAATGCTTATATCGGCATGATCTAACCGATTATAAATAGTTTACTTTTCGGTTCGATAATCGATTAAACAATTATTCAAATGGAAATCGGACATCACTAGATGAATGTGAAACGTCATTTCAAATATAAGGCCGTTCATAAATAATGATACAATTTGAAAAGGACCGGGGCTAATCACAATTTACGTCTCCATGGTAACCATGGTGTTCACCTGGGGGGGGACGTGCTGTCAAATCAGCCTACTGATCATTCTTGTATGAAACTGGCTCCAAACGTAAACATTCGCTGTAGGTTTCTTATGGCTTATTTACGTTTGGAACCAGTTATGCGAGGCATGCGAGGTAGGCGACGATTGTTCGTATTTGTCAGCCACCTCCCCCCCTTGGTGTTCACCGGTTTACCGCACTGGTAGTTGCCAAACAGGTTGGGAAGTGGGAACAAACCTTTTTGGTGAAAGCGGGTGGCTTATGTGGCAACCCGATCCAACGTTTGTGAAAAACAAAGTGAAACGTCTCGCGGTCATTTTTGGGTTTCGATTGTTCCGTGTGCAATTCGGCTAGAACTAAAATTCTTCTGCAAAATGAGTGAGTCAAATCCGAGCCAGTTGCTGATTGGTCGATTTGACAGTAGCAATCGTGAAATAAAAAGGACAGAGGTATAACATCAATCTGGCTGACAGATATGCCGGAATTAATGTTAACGTCAATGGCGTTGTTAATTGGTAACGGAAAGTTAAAAAATGGAGTGCATGGCGTGTTTTAAGCGATGAATATTGTTGTTTGTTTATGGCAAGGGGGACGAAAGTAATCCGCTTTACATTTCATATAACGGATTTCTATAAGTTTGCTTCAAAATTTCGATTTTTTAAGATACATTGGAGTCGTAATGAATAATAACAAGCACCTGTCGATATTATCCGATTTCATACACTAATCATCGATAATCTTGGATGTGGTAGAATTATCGAGCATTATGGTGATGTTTTCTTTAGTGTATTTTGAGATGTGAACTGTCACTTTCTTGAGCACCTGCTTTGTGATTGTTGCAAACCCAAGACCGAGCCCAAGACCAAACGATAGATGCTGATCTTCACCGGATGCCTGACATTTAGTGAAGTCTGTTGAGGTAGTAATGGAAATCAGTAATGACCTTGGAGATATCCTAGAATTCCCATTCGTGACTATACTATACTATCACCTTAACATTTCAAGAGCAAACAGGTAATGTTCCAATTTCATGAGCGATGTCACAACTGTGTACGAAATTTGTGTGTGTGCTCTAGAACACTTTAAGTGATAGGGCATCTCAGCCATCATCAGGCAATTTGAACAAACGATTTTCGAACAGATTTATCAGCCAACAATACTAAAGGGTGGATCAGCAAACTTCTAATGACCTTATCTTGCAAACTGAAGCACACCTACGCAAACCAATTCCACCATCGGATAGGATAAAATTTTCCCTAGCCGACGGTGTTGTTGATTTGGCAAGACGAGCTTCGATCTGCGAGAAAAGAGCATTACAAGATTTGATTGCAAAAGCTGATCCGCCTGTTTTGAATTGTTGGTTAAGATTTCACGACGTTCCTTTCTTATAAACAAACGACTGTCATCGTTACCTGTCATTATACTTATAGAGATGTGACCCAATATTTGAGATGTGACCGATAAAAATCCATATTATCTGTTTTTAGAGATTTAAGCACGATTATATCGGATGAATCCGATAAAATGGATTTCTCCGACTGTAAATCAATAAATCAAACTTTAGAGTAATTTTTGGCAAAATTAGAATAAATCTGGGACTTAAGGTTTTATGATGGTTGTTTTTATTGTGTTAAGCAAAAACGATGTACAAGGTGCTTAACCACCGACAAACCGACACGATTTAAATTTGCAGTGATCCGAACTGTCAAAACCATAGGAGTTTTTGATCTAGATAAAAAATAATTTGTCCAGAATAGATCAGACACGAACCAATTCATAACTTTTGCATGCGTGTTTATGGATTAGCTAAATATTTCCGGCGAACACGGAGCCAGATGTCAGTAGTGTGCTTTGATTAGAAATTTTATTGTTTTTGCTATGGTCATTCATGTCGGTTTATCATCGGTGGCTTAACTGCGGTAAAAGCTCCGAATCAAATCCAAATTAAAATATGAAAATCATTCTGCAATCCTGGCATCAGTGATCAACTCCGTCTAACACTATGCACTCATTTTTGAAGGACATTTATCAAATACATTAGGAAGAGTGAGAAGCTTGATTGTCAAGTCCCGTCCCGGGGCTTGATGTGTCTTAAGGTTCGATTTTTGGGCCAAATCAGACAGCAGAAAACTTGAAAAAAATTGCACTGACTGAAAACAGCATTTCAGCCAATCCGAAACTACTAGCACCGACAAACCGACATGACCCAAGTAACATTGCAAGTCTTATCGAGGTTCTAAAGCATGCTACAAGCACAGACAAACAGACGTAACTCTTGATTGTGTATCTTCGTTCACGCATTTAACGGTTGATTTGAATATTATCAGTTCCGCGAACTACTCGCCGCAGCGCTGGCATCGGATCACTTTGACGTTTCTATACATTCTATAGAACTTTTATGCAATATTGTTTGCGAGTTAGCGAGTAAGCTTGTTTTCCGCGAGAAGCCTGAAAGATGTCGCTACTGAGGTCCTATGTTTTGAGATACTATGTTTTCAAGAAAAACTTTTTCAAAGAGTTACGTCTGCTTGTCTGTGCTACAAGTCTAAATCACGGTCCCCAGAACCCTTATAAAACCAAAATTGTTACTTGGGGAACGACTATAGAAATTACCATGATATTTCTACTCAAATCTCCGTAGTGACATAAGCCACGAAAACGCGTGCAAAATGTATGAGTGGGTTCGTGTTCAGATAAAACATTCTATGGTTTTGACAGATTGGATCGCTGTACAATTTGAATTGGTCGTTATAGATTTTCGAACAAAAGATGAGCTTAAGTTGCATGTCGGTATGTCGGTGCTATAAGTAGTATACAAAAGGCAGGTGGCATTTATCAACAAATGAATTTTGTTGAAATGTTTGAAACTTCACTGAAATTTTTGAAACTTCGTTGAAATTGTTTGAAATTTTCGGAACTAAAGTTGTTCAAACTTCGTTGAAGCTTTGCTAAATTTCTAGAATCTTTATTGAAGATATTTGAATTTTGGTGACGATTTAGGAACTTTGGTAAACATGTATGAACTTAAATAAAATATTTGAAACTTCACTGATTTTTTTAAAGCTTTTCTGAAATTCTTGGACTTTTCAGGATTTTTTTTAATCTTCACTGAATTTTTTAGAACGTTACTGACGTTCTTGAAGATTTGCAGAACTTTTTGGAGCTAATCACAAGTGCTTGAAGAACTTCAAAGCACTCAGAACTTTTCCAAAGTTCTCGGAATATCTCCGAACTTCTCAGAGCTTATCTCAAGTTCTTAGAACTTCGCTGAAGTGTCTTGAATTTTGCTGAAATGTTTGGAATATCTTTGAACTTTGCTGAGATTTTCGGAGCTTATCTTAACATTTCGCTGAAGCTCTTGAACCAGGACTGAGTTTTTTTGGAGGTTTGCTTAAAATATTTGAACTCTGGAAATGATGTACGAACTTAGCTGAATTTTTGCTAACTTCTCTAAAATTTTTGTAACTTCTGAAATTTAAGGAACTTTTATGAAATATTTGGAACTTTGTTGACGTAGGGGAAAGGATGTAATATCGGCCTAAATGCCCCTAATTTGGACCCATACATAAATTCAGCAATCGACTAAATTTTCAATAGTGACCAAAAATATCCATTAGTAC